AATCCCATTTCCAAGATCTTGGACATGGCTCGACATCTACAACGTAGAGCTAAAACTCTCTGTTTCCCAAATTCGGATCCGGGTTATATCAAATTGGGTCGTGCGAAACCAATGGAGGTACCAAAAGGACATTTGGCTGTGTACGTGGGCCAATCAGAAGGGGATACTAGGAGGGAATTGGTGCCTGTCATTTACTTCAATCACCCCCTATTTGCAGAGCTATTAAAGGGAACGGAGGGGGTGTACGGGTATCACCATTCGGGTGGGATTACTATACCTTGCGGGTATTCGGAGTTTGAGAAGGTAAAGATGAGGATTGCCGCATGGAATTGTTGCCATAAAAGCAGTGGTACTCGTATACGGAGTAGGCACCAAAAGCATTGGTGATATTTATGGTAGTTGACTAGTTGGTGGTTTTTTAGTTCGGACTTCGGACCGAAAAGATTTTTATCTTCGTTCTGGGAAAATTTGATTTCACTAATTTTTGTGAACAGGAGAAGCAAAATGACTGCTTTTGGTGATTTTTTTTTTCAATCCATTTACTTCTTCTTTTTTTATTAAATCGAGAGTTCATTACAAAAACTCTAAAAAACTTACAAAAGAAAACTAATATATATATATATATATATTAGAACAATAAAGAAATGATCAGATAGAATACTTGTGCATAGATATAGAATTAATAGCAATAAAAGACATGATTTGACAACCAATTTGCCTAATAATTTATCTCTTAATAAACATAAGTAGTGATTTATCTCTTAATAAAAATAAGTAGTTTGAGCTTGCCAAGATTATTGCAATAGTAAACGAATCCAAATGAGTATAGCTTAGAATAGATTTTCAGACCATACCATAAAACCATATTATAACTGATTTAGATTCGCTCAAATGGCAATTTATTATAAATTGAGGAATTGAAAAGAAAAGGATATAAGTTTAATTTAGTGCTATATTCATGATAAAACAAAATGTATTCCACTCCTTATGTGTGTCAAATATTTCACATTCAAAATGTGTTAGATTTTTAGCTTATTTCAATTTTATTCTTAACATTTACAGTTTTAGAGTAATGATATTCAAAATATGTTATTCTAATAAGCAAAATACTTTTTTTAAAACCATATTTAACTTTATTTTTAAAAAAACATATAAAATACTTTATATGTTTTTTTCTATTAATCTTGTTTTGTTTTCTATATTAAAAAAAAAATCTTAAAATATACTAGTTGGTTTTGTTCAAGTATCTTCAGCTTCGGCCTTTTGGGCCGCAAATACCTTTGTCGAAGGGGCCTTTGAATTAAGTCAATTTGCCAATTTTGGCTTTATTAGAAACTCTTGGTTTCCTGCTCCCTTTGCACTCCGAACCTTGGGCAGTTGGGCTTACGCAAGATCCTCATATAATATTTCGGGAGAAATAAAAATCAGTATATTGGTATATTGATAGTAACCTTTTGGTCTCCAATAAAAGGTCATTCATGCGTAAATGAATTAATTGACCCTATTTACATCTCATACATGAAATAGTCAAGTTAGCCCCTGAAATGGTTAGATTAATCCGCTTAGCGGGAAACTTGTAAATAAAAGGTTATCATCTTAAAGGAAATAAATTTTGAAAGATAAGTCTATAATTGATGGATTTTTAGCTCAAGTGATAGTGACATGTTGATGCCAATGGGTCAGTTATCCAGCCCCTTAAGTAAATCCCTTGCCCTACTCATTAAAAATTATTATACTCATTATCCATTATGGTATTTTAAAAAAATAATTAATGAACAGGTTGGATACGGTATCTATTTTGTACCCAACCTACTCTTATGCCTATTTGACGTGGAAGAGTGGCTCATTCGAACTTAATCATGTTTATTGAATCAAAATTCTTATTTAATTAAGTAGAGTTTTAAGAAAAATTTTTATGTAATTTAGTTGCCTAGGTTACTTATTTTTCTTATGTAATTCAAATTACTTACTTTTCTTAATAGAATTTAGGTCATTTATATTCATAAGAATATATAATTGTATTAACGAGTTTATTTTAGGAGCTCATATTTAATTTGATTAAAATTAATTAGTTTCTATTAAATTTAGATTGGACTTGTTGTCCTTGTTTGTTTAGAACTTATGTTTGTCATTATACGATATTTAGGAGATTTCTAAAAATTCTATTAAAAATTGTTTGTTTGTTTATTTGTCGGGTATATGAGTAAAACTATATTTTGGAGTTGCCACCTAATGTTTAAAAGAACGAAAAAACTTAAAAATGACATTAGTTCAAAAATTATAAGATAAAGAGTTAGTAATGTCTTTGAAAAAATATTAATCACTTATAAGCATTTTTTTAAAAAAAGTACTACGTGTAGTTTAATTCTAAAAATTTCTATTTTTGCTAAATTATTTCTTAGTCAACTTCCAAGTTTATTATCTAAGCCAAATTAATTTTTTTTTATTTTTGTTTGTGACATCATATTAAACCAATCATCAAACTTCGTCATTAAGAGTCTTATCAATTTAACATCGGATCTAGCTTAAATCTTAACATAATCGGTATATCGGAGAATAACCTAATTACTAAGATGATTAATTTGATTCAAGCGATGACCTTAGTACCTATTAGATAAGAGATTTGTTAATCTAGTATTTTTTTATCATTTTTATTTTTTTTATTTTTCAAGTTCGTTAGAGAATCATGTTTAGTTCCTAAAAATAAGAAGATTCAACGATCCACACAACTATTAATTATTATTCAAGTCATATTTAATATTAAAATAAAATCTAAAAATGAAATTAATAGTCCCTACACGTTTATAGAAGTCTAAAATCTAACCACAAATTTTAAATTTAATTAATATTAAATATTAAATAAGACATGAAATTTAATTACCGAAAAAAAATAAATGCTAAACATTAAACTAAATAAATTAAAATAAGAGTCATGTATTAAAATTTTATACTTAATTTACCATGGGAGAATAGCTAAAAAAATAAATTAAATTTGAAGAAATCGAGGAGAGGGTGGGAAAGGTTGCTTATCAATTAAAGTTACCCCCTTCGGCTTCGATTCACACAGTGTTTCATGTTTTCCTTTTGAAGAAATCGATTCGATCTTTCTAGGGGGATCAAATAACTCCCTAATCTGCACTCAAGTTCTTTCCCTTAACCTCTGGCAGTACTTGATAAGAGGATTATCAAGAAGAGAAACAGAGTAGCTATCCAGTCCACTAGAATGATCTCTCTCCAGCAAATGCTACCTGAGAGTTTGCAGATGAGATTAATAAACAATTTTCATCATTCTCCTTTGAGTAGAAGGAAGACCTCGAGGAGCGGGCATTGATACATGCAGAGAACGAAGAAACGAGAAAAGAAGAAACGGAAGCAAAAAATTCCTATTTGAATTCGGGATTCTTGAAAAATCGCTGAGAAGGACTTTATAGGTGGGCGTAGTATAATTGGATAGTTATTTTGGACCAGTTTTGTTATCAATTTGAGTCTGGGCTTTTGGGCTTGTCATAATAGGTTTGCTTTGCTCTCTGCTCTATAAGGTTGTTAATTGTTCTTATCTTTATACAACAAAATATCAATAACAAACTGTCCCCTCTCATTTTTCTCTCCCCTTCTCTCCTCCTCTTCTTCTTCTTTTTCGTCTCCCTCTTTGTTCTTCTTTCTCTAAATCCTCCTTCTGTCATTATTCTTGCATCAAAATTCATGTTCTACGAAGGATAAATTAATACAAGTCGTTGAATATATAAAAAATTGTATCCAAGATGGAGATATCCTTATCCAGATTTCGTTACCAATGAAGAAAGGAGTGTTTATTTTGGGAGTTCATCTATAATTGAAGAGACTCAATCTCTAGCTGAGTGGAAGAAGAAATGAAGATGCATTCAATCTATTCGATGAATTGCTACATTCATGGGATTACATGTGCTAAGAAAGGAAGATGCATTCAATCTATTCAATGAATTGCTACATTCATGGGATTGTGCTGGTGTGGAGGAACTTGATGTTGCAAGTACATTTATGGAATTGGAATGAAATTAGGCATGCCTTTGGAGGTTAAAAGTTATTAAAGCCTTTAATCTCCAAAAGAGTGAAAGAAGGAAAGAAGAGTTGCTTTCAACGCGCTTTACAGCAACATCTCTTTTTCTCCTTCACTCTTTCTCCCTCTTTTTTCAGATCCAAATTTTCTTCTGTTTTTGTTAGTAAAGATGAATGTGAAATTCTTTTAATCTTTTTTTGTTTTAGATAATTTAACTATAAGATCTAATATAGATTTGTTTGTTCTGCATATTATATGAAAGCTGAATAATAGATCCTAAATATTTAATTTAAATTTAGATCTTGTAATCTTTTTACTTTTACATGCCTTCCACGAGTAGTTAGAAATTAATCAACAAAAAAACAAAACTTGATTAAAAAAAAATAAAAACTCAGAACCCAAATGAGAAAATTAAAAATTAAAAACCTTTCTTTATTTATTTAATTTTTTTTAAAAAAATAGATAGTCTTTTTCACTTTTTTTTTCAAAATTTATTTATTTAAATTCAGTCGAAAAAGTGAAAGACAAAATTAAGATTAAAAAAAAAACTTAAATTGACACGCATCACAATCTTATAACACTAAAAATACCATTCAACACCTTTAACCTTTAACGAAAAAATAAAATTAAAACAAAATTGCCCAAAAATCAACGAAAAAATAAGATTAGATTAAATCAAAAACTGTACGTAAATAAACAAAGTTAAGACAAGAAAAAATAAGAAATAAAAAGATACATGAAAAGACATGTCCAATCAAGAACTCGGAAAACAAGCTACACAAGTAGATTAAGTTGAAATTTATATAACCAGTAACGAGGGCGTAAGCCTTGTTTTGTTTTCACAAACACCCCCCACTAAGAACCCCTGAGTATAGAAATGCCAATAGCGAGAGAAAGCATCATCTAACATAACGTATAGCAACATATTTAACAAACTGAAGAAGTAGTTCCACATTTTCGGCCATCAAGCACTGTAACCTTGGTTTGAAGGACGCAATTCCCCAACATCATGGCCACTACATGCGGCAATACAAGCTTCCTCCATGGAGGCTTGAGAGACACCGCCATTGCAAATGTTGGCAAACGCTCGCATGTGTTTCATTCCATACTGCGTCAGCGATCCACAATGTGTTTCAAACAATCGAACCTAGAGTTTTCGAAGTTTAACATGTTAGTAATTAATAATGCAATGAAGGGCAAAGAGACTTGAAAAGGCACCGCCATGTTACCATTGATTTCAAGCATCTCCAGTCGTCAACTAGAGGAGAACCGGGTTCTCTAACAGATTTAAGAATTGCTGAGCCTTTTTCAGGTCCAAATACTAGTGTTCCAATCAATTCCATGCTACTGTCCAAGTGAGATCTATGCCTTATAGTCTCTTTAATCTCATTAAGGATTTGGGTCTTCTTGTCTGACCCATCTTTAGACCTTTTGTACTGCACGGCCCAACATAACATTACGGCACAGGAGGAAATATGGATTGTCATGTTCTAACCATTTGTTGCACTTACCATTTGCCAGAGGAAAACAAGCTCTGCATCTCTCTGGTTGACAACGCCCATACGCTCATCAATGTGACCGTTGTTTGGAGGGAAGTTTACACTAGCAGGATCGAAACCTTGGTACAAATAAAGCTTCTCTCTTTTGAGGCTTTCGTTCCCATATTGCATCACATGGGATCCAGAAGTGAACGTATTGTAATTGGAAGTCCTGTCCTTCACCTGCAGAAATCGTACATTACATTAGAAGCCTTCAGGATGTCACAATTAAAATTAAGCTGAGACTAGAAATGCTCATAGAAGTACTCATTTAATGATAATTGTCGGCATTACCGAATGATATTGCTCCTTTATTGTTTCTCTCTTCAGATTGTGTGTTTCACTGCACAAAAAGGGAAGAGATGATTAAAAAATATAAACACTAATGAACTCTTGATTACCTCAGAAAGGGACTTTTATTGATTGTGAACTACTATAGAAGAAGAATGAACTGGTTGGGTCTATGTAGTAGATGATAAGTATGATAGCAAGGAGCCAGTCTCATACACACCTATCTTCCATCCAAGCAACACTGTACAAATCCCCTAAGCAAGTGACATACTCTGGAGGTGCAGATGGCTCCATCCCAGGACAATACGTTCCCCAGCTACTCTCTTCTGCATTTGATGCTGTCGTCACGTAAATGTTTAGGTCCTTAGGCATGATGCCTTCGAAGATGCTCCCACTCTCACAAGCTTCTATATACATTATCTGTGTTCACCACAATCAAATGCCTGTTAGTTGCCATGGCAGTATAAAATTACTGATTATGAGGTAAAAATAAATGGTCTCTTTACCATTTCTTTGTAGCTCCCAGATGCATGTTTCTTCTTCAAAACCTCAATGAAGTCCATTGCATATAGAAAAGGCATGTTTGGCATCCCTGTATTCACATGGTTTAAGCCAATAAGCTTCGATATTAATATGCATTCTTTACAAAAGCTTGATTAAAACAGAACAAATTTGAAGCGAAAGGAATGTTGTTGTTATAGATGTGAGCTAGTCAGCCAGCAACTAACATATTTAGGATCAATATCAAGACCATCGACCTTTTGAAGGCTAAGAAATGAAGCAGAGCACCATGAAAAAGGCGGAAAAAGCTTACCGAGAACTCCAGGACCTCCATGATCAGAATAGTACAAGAAGATCCTATCATTGGGCTTGCTATCCACAACCTTGCCACTTCCACCTTTGACAGCACTCTTGTCACCAATAAGTACTGCATAAAGATTCTTAGCAGTAACCTGTTCGCCAGTGTAATCCTGCCACGATAGACCATGTATTTTAACAGTTTTTAAGTACTGAAACTTTCACCATTAAAAACCGAATCATGGCATATAACTTAATTAGCAAAAAATAATTAATTATCTCCGTTTGGCCATAAACCTTTAGTCCAAATGCAATCAAGTGACCGATAAAAGATAACGGGGCCGAATTGATTAAATCCACCTGACAGGTTATCGATAATCTCTTGATTATATTTTTCTCTTTTCTTCAGAAATCAGAAAACCGTGCTGTTTAGTGCTTTATTACTGCCACTAGCAAGAGTTAAGAGGTCCACGTCATGCAGACATTCAAATATTGCCTGGCAGTAGTTCATAACTTGTTAACAACTGATTAAAAAAAGAAGAAGATCGGATGCTCTACCAGATAGAATAGCAGCAGTTAGAATAAGCATTAACGCAATAGCGACTATGTGAACAACAATCATATTATACTCCAATTTCTAAAGGTCCCTTGCTGAGGTAATCAAGAGAAACAAATATTTTTTGAAGGCAAATCCCAATTACTAATTCAGAGTTTAACATCCTGTAAGTCAATCTGAAAATGGTTGTCCTTTTCATTTTTTTATAAATATTTATAAAATTCTGTCATAGTGACAGACAGATAGAACTTACTAAGAACGCACCTTGGACGGTCCAAGATCGTCCGAGACTGAAGTAAAGGTGACACGTCGAGATCAAAAACAATTAAATAATGGAAATGGCTGGATGCAAATTAAGGTTAACATCATAGAACCAATCACTATCAATCACGAATTTAGGATGGCACATACCCAGCCAAAAGCTTCAACATGGCAGACATGATTAATACTACTAAATAACGAACCTTAGCCCCATAGGGAAAAAAAAAAAAAAATGATATCCTACCAAAGGGGGATCCGGAGAGATAATTAGAGGTAAATCATTTTTTTTTCCTTACAGATCTCTTGTACACTAGCCTAATTAGAGGTAAATCATTTATGTGAAAATTTCCTCCTAAATAAAGAGTAAAGACTGAAATACACAAACCTTAATTTACTAGAATATTATATCAAATAATGGGATTATAATAGGATCTCACTAATATAGTGGTTTTTCTACCATCGAATCCAACCATTAAGTAAAGCACTGTAAAGATATCAATATCTTAAAATTTTATCTCAATCAGACTTAAAATTATCATTTGATTGAAACTCTTAAGATGAGCGGCTCAAACTTAAAACTCTCTTATTTTTCTTAGCGTCTCTTTCTATTTCTCTCAAACCCTTTTCGTCTGCAATACCTTTTCACTCTGTCACTCTATCAAAACAAATGAATATGAATGGCATTTTATGGTGCAAGAATAAAAAAAACTTTATTCTTAACTAAAACTGCACCGTACAGCTGCAACTCTCAACAATAGCTGTGCATGCATTTCTATATTTTAGGTCAACAAATGCAGCACCACCTTTGTGTTCTTTTTCATAGGTGGAGGGTCCCATTCACATGGGCTGGACCCAACACTTCTACTGTATTTACCGTGGCGATCCAAAATAATTAGTGTAGCAACAAGCAAATGTTTTAAAGTATAATTCAATAAGGAAATTAACAGTAGTATTTATGTAGTTACCTTAGGCACACCAGCATAAACATCATCTCCTTGGGGATGGTTGATGATAACTCCAGGCCTTGGGTTCAACTCGTGCTTGGCTATGTCATCGTTCATAAACACCACTATGTTCTCTTCTTTTATGCCACCTTTTCTTAGTAGTTGATACGCATGACAGACATCCGCCTATGTATGTATATATATATTTCACATGCATCCATGCACAGTTAATCAATCATCGATCAATAACATACATAACTAACATAAGATTCCTCATCCACCATAAAAGAAAAACTAAAAGCACTACTTAGCTAATCATAATATTAAGCTTATTAGTAACTAAACAAGGATCTGAGAAGATGGATTAGCCACTAAATATAAAGAACAAAATAAAATAAAAGAGGAGCTTAGCTACATACATATAGCTAGGCCCTAATTTTAATGAATTTCACCTGATGCCTGTAATTTCCATAACCACTTGAACCGGCCACAAGAACCGCCCATCTTGTGCCAATTTCTTTACCATCGTCATCAACTTCTGGCTGATCATATTTCTCTGTTGGCATAAGAATCCCCGGTTCAACCGGGTTCAACCGAGCGGCTTGACTACTATGTACATGTAGAAAAGACAGCATCACAAGTACAAAAATAGCACGCAAAGGATAGGCCTTGTGGGTCTCCATCGGAGAGTTGACCTATTCAAGAGATGATCAAACCAGCAATATGGTCAAAAAACAAGAGCTGATGAGGAAACGAAAAAACCTGGAGAGAAAATTAGGAGGAGCTCGGTGGCTTGAAGAGAATCAGGGAAGCGGTTAATTTATAAAGTGAGGGGGATGGAGCGGTGCAAGATGCCATGCAAAGTAAGGGGTTGACACGTTAGGGAAATGGTTCAACTATGGTGGGTCCCAAAATGCTTAGGCTAATTCAAGTGGAACTGGGAGTGGGGTGTTGTTTGAGATTTTTTATGGCTGTGTTGTTTTCGTGTTTTGGAGAAATTGTGTTAATCAATCTTTTGCTTTGCTTTTCGTGTAGGATTTAGAGAAAAGGAAAATAGTTTTTAATCGATTAAGAGACAAGAATTTTAGGGATGGTTCGGTTACGATTTTCAGAGTAGGCCGGCTTTATGTTGATTTTGTGCTCAAATAGAGGAAAATTGCAGTTTTTTTTTAAAGACAGTACGTGAGTTGTGCAGTGTGATTCTTAAGAGATTAGAATAACAAGCAGGTTGTAATGGATTATAAGAGAGATTGGGCATTTCTGTTCATTAATTAGGCTCTCTTAGATATTTGTTCACAAAAAATAATAACCTCACCTCAGCCGATCCGTTGATAATACAATTCAAATATTAAAATTGCATCATAATGAATAAAAAATTTCATGGATTTCTATAACTTTTTCATTTAGATGATCTGAATTTGATGAAATTAGATAACTTAGGTCCTCTTGAGTATTTGTGCACATATGTCATGCTCATACTAATCAAGAAAATGAACTAAAATTAGCGATGATTCATTCACATGGGAGCAGGTTTTGATTGCTTTTAATAAATCAACTTGACTCGATTAAGATTCAAACTCTATCTATCCAAAAAAAAAATCAAACTCTCATCATGCCATGGGAGGCTGGGGACCCCTAGCATTTCGGTTCAATAATAGAACAAGCTCATTTCGGCCGCAAGCTGGAGTAGCTCAGTTGGTTAGAGCGTATGGCTGTTAACCATAAGGTCGAAGGTTCGAACCCTTCCTCTAGCGTTTTTTTCCTGATATATATATATTACTTGACAACTCGGTCTTTCTTTCCCAAGACCTCTCTCTAATTTGATTGTAACCTTTATTGGTAGGTGGAATGGAATACCCAGCCACTTGGATATATCGTTCGCTCACTAATGAAAAAGGTTAGGTTATAGATAGATACCACTTTGGATATCATTCACTAATAAAAGGAAGGTTCTATAAGCCAAAACAATCAATCTCATTAACTGTAGTTTGATTGTTAGTAATCAGGGAACCCCCCATGTGTTACCATAGAAGATTGAAAACTACCATACCAGTATCCACCTTCATACAAGAATATGATGATTCACTATCCTACCCATATCCACAGCCACAACATGCATGCATCAGCCGAGAGCCTGATCCCAATTTATCTCGTTAATGAAGCAAGGACTTCCATTAAAGTAATTAAATGGTGCAACATAAAATCAGTACAATACAGAGTCTCTAATGTCATCCAGTAAACAAGATATTCTTCCCAATCTTTAAGTTGCAGCATAACATGCGCAGTGGATCCTAAAACTTCAAATACCACTTCACAGAGTCTCAATAGCATGCCATGCTATCATTTAGAGAGAGATTTCCACGAAGTTGATGGTTAGTCCAAGCACCATGATACAGATGATCATTAGCACATTCCTTGTCGAAGACAGCATCCTTATTGTAAAGGATCTAGAAATATAACAGAACTCTCTCAAATGCCCTTGTAGTTGCCCCACCCACTACAAAATTTTGACTCAGAATGAAAACAATGAATGTTTTTTCAGTATTTCCCCCTCCACGAAGACCACCTTAGCTTCAACTGGTACCATAAAGGAGAAATACCCAGAACTCCTCGTGCTAACCTAGGATCAAACAGGTCATAATGTACCTGACTCAGGGTGTCCAAGAGAACTTGGGCAGGCACAGCTGGCAGAAGCACTGAACGAGCCTCAGTGGGGACTGTTACAGCTAATGAACGAGCCTTCTGCAAATGGACATTAGCTACTGATGCCATATCAAATACAGCATTACATAAACTCTCACGTGAATCCAGGAGGATTTCAAATCGACCTCCCTCCTTAACCAGCAGCCCATGTTTGGCTGCCACTTCAGTTGGTATATAACAAAAGTGTCGGTTGCGACTAGCATGATATGGCAGTGACCTAAGTAGCAAAAGAAGGCCACTGGCCTTACCAACATGTGATGCTGCATGATCAGCTGCAGTGGACCTGATACCGCCAGCTTGAAGAGTCATATAAAAAAGGGTTGATACAGTGTCCTCTGCATATTTTTCCAACTCTTCTATTGTTTCTGGGATGTCAGTAACCTCTCTCCTCGCATCATTAATCCGAGCTTCAACGGGCCTTTTCAGCCAGCCCTTGCTAATTCTATTCTCAGATATCACAGATGAGAGAGCCTGAGCTGTTGGGTGCTCAATTACTTTGTTAGCATAGATCTTATCTATAGCTTCTTGCCACCAGAGAAGGCGCATAAGACCAATCCTGGGATCTGAAGCAACATCCATAGCTCTGGCAGTTTCCACATTGAAGGCACGGAGTGCGAATGCAGCCTTCCGGATGTTAGGAGGAAGTTCAAGGAGGCAGAGATAGTGATGGTAATCATAACTCCACACTTGTTGTGCACAGTAGGAGAAAGCAGTTCGTAAGCTACTAGAAGCACCGTTCATCAAATCGACGCTGTGGTTCCTCCTATGAATGCATGATAGTTATACAAATGACAAGTCTAAATAAGGGTTTAAAAGAAAAAAACTCAAATATCACTTTTCTAGGTCTGGGCAAAGCAATTGATCCAAGTAAAACATTTCTTCCAAAAAAAAAAAAAAAAGTAACATCAAAAGGCGTAAACATTTCATAAATTCATGCCTGTAACTTGTAAGTTATAGAACTTGTCAGCAGCGACAAAGCACTTTTAGGCATGCAAGAGAGAAGTGGTGGCTCATAAACCAAATCAAAGGCATTAGCAACAAACTTAACATATCAAGAAAATTACAGGCAGTAACCCTTACCATTAGTGACAAAACCATTATTAGAGAGATTCATTATGCAATATCTAATATTACTATTGAATTTTATAATAGAATCAGTTTCAGTTCATTCGAGCTGAACCACTTGATTTAACTCCCCAGCTCTCTGAGTTCCAAGAAACTGCTCACAGAATTTCAAGATTCCAAAGGCAACAATTCTCGTGGTGGACTTCCACATGTTATGGCAATATACGGGGTTGGGAATGATAAATTCACCGTTGCCTTGTATATTCTGAGCTTTGTTGCCCAAGATCTTTCCTTACCGTTCCTACTCAGAGTGTTAGACAGAGCGTTGTTGATCAACTCGCGTGTACTCTTACCTAAGAACTATGCCAGTCATGTCAAAATGACATCGTTATAACAGTACTCTAAAGAGTATAAACAAAGATATAAATAACCTTTTACACCACATTTTTTATGGACCCACAGCAAGAAAATTGAAATTAATAATCCTTAAAAACACAGCCCAATGAACAAAACAGAATGCTTCTACGAAAAAAAAGAATGGTGCAGTTTTAAGATTACTTTTAGTTTTGAATAAGGAAATTACAGGTGGGAATCCTTATAGACAAAGTGTGTTCTTTTTTCAAACCACGCGAGATCTTAACATTAATGTTTCGTTTGTCTCGTGAGGACTGATTGCATAACTGGAAGCTTTCAATTCGAAATTGATATGAAATCAAAATCCAACAAATGGGTTTCGTAGAAACTGTGAGTAAACACAAAGCTAACAAATTTGACAGATTATTGACGAAATTCAGCTTAAGCACGTTACTTATAGGCATTTAATCAAACGAAATGAGTGCATTCTCAAGCATTGGCTATTTTGCCTTCAAAATAAATACCAATGAAGAACGTAAGGCAACCAAATCCATAGGAGGAAGTAATAGTTACAGAGCAAAGAAATAGAGTAATTTAAGTATAATCTAACACCTAAATAATTGAGGAAGATTGAAGCTTACCGACAGAGACAGATGGAAAGAGATAAAAATTCCACAAGAAGCTTTCAAAATAAAAACAGACTCCAGATTCGTTATGCGATCGCGAAAGTAAGACAAGATGTTAGAGAGGGAGAGGAAGGGAGAGACAGCACTAAAATGTTCGTGTGGCGTCCACAAGAACCAACCTCGTGGAGGTTTTTGTCTCCATGAAACGGCACCATTTCCAACCGCATCGTCTAGCGTCTAATTTCCCTTGTTTCCTAAACGCGTTTTAGCCGTTTGGGCCGATACAAAGTAAGTATCATATTCTAACCCGTTAATTAATTATCCTTTTAAAATATTTTAATAAATAATTAATTAAATATAGATAAAATAATATTATCTATTTATATTAATGGATAATTTATTCATAAATATAAGTATTATTTTTTTATCTTATTAATACCCATCTTTTATTCATTAACATAAAAAAAATATATAGTAAAACACAAAGTTTTTTTTAAAAAAATCAAAGCATCAAAATTTAGAAATCACTACAGCTTTAGGCTATAGAAATATAATAGTGTCCGACTGAACCACCTCCTCATGGCAATTATACTTTTATCTCGATATCGCATCTTTCTTTTCTTTTTTAATTCTTTTTTATTGTTTGTAGGATCGGGTTTTGAGATCTTAACTATTTGATCTTTCCGTGTGTTTTTTTCTATGAACATTATTCGAATCATGCAAACTTTATAGTTACAAAGCAATGTAGGAATTATGCAAAATTTATCCATGATTTAACCGTGTTTATAGCAAAAAAAAAATTTCGTAAAAAAAAATTGAAAAAAAAAGTCATTAATTTAAGGAAAAAATTAACGAGTAAATAAGTATAGACAAGGTATGGGCGGGGTATGATATAATGGTTATGGAATGAGTAATGAAATGGATAAATGATTATAAATGGGTAATGGGTATAGTATTTTTTAGTAGGTAGGATATAGGATTTGCTTAATGGGTCGGATACCTAACCCATTAACATCCTTATTTCACATTTTTGTTATTCACAATCATGGATTTTGTAAATTTTGGTCGATCAAATTTTGAGTTTTAAGCTCGGATTGGTAACATTAATTAGTTTTACGTGTTTTTATTATCCAGGGTGAAAATAAAAAGTTATTTAATAAAGAAGAAAACTTTAATAGCAAGAAAAAACAAATATCTAATATGGTTTTTACTTTGAGAAATAGTTTGATACTCTATTTCTATTTTTCTTATTTATTCTAAAAATTTATGGTGGGCAAATTAGGGAAACATATTTATTGGACACAAATTTTTCGAAAAAGAAAAAACAATTGGCTAGCATCTAAAATAATGTGGTCAACACAAATATCTAATACGGTTTTTAGCATTGCTTGACAAGCCTCTTTTTTTTTCTTTTTTTTTTGGGTGGAGGGGGTGGGGACAAGGACGGAACCTTGACAAATATATTCAAATAACGTGGAAAGATACAATGAGGGACAAACCAGACCTAGCCCAATATTTTGGGAGGGTAAGGAAGCCTAAACCCATGCAAAATTACGGAAAAGTTTCTGAAAAATAACTATCACAATACTTACAAAATTAAAAACCCACTATCAACTATAGTGTACTAAAACCAATCAACTCTCTCTCAATCTAATGGAAGATAGCACCATCCGAATCATCCTATTTAGGTCGATAATTGTGAAGACCCAACTTGTCATCTAAAATTGCGGCTTTACGGGAAGGAGGCAAAGTATAAGTTGAGAACCCTATTTTGCGGGAAGTATGCTTGATAAGCCCAATCGACAAGATGATTCACAACCATATTGTCTTCTCTATATGTATGAAGGAATACGAGTTTCTAAGAGGTTAAATTCCTTAACTTTCTTAGTGATGTAAGTTAATTGCCAAGGACATAAACTAGCGAGAGGAAAGACAACCCAACACCAAACCCGAATCGCTTCTATAATGTCAACTAAAAGAGACAAGTCATCGCAAAGTTTCGAGTCATCTAGTAATACAAAAGCTTTCCATCTAGTATTAGTTCCAACACCATAGAAAATAGAAAAGGCCAAAACTAGATTACCCCTATCATCCTTTAGGATTCCTCCCCCACAATAGATATTGTTCCTATAAGCATCATCCGTATTTAACTTGAATTTTCCCATTGGTGGGTAACACCTTCTAATCCAAGCAACTTCTAATCTGTACGACTTCTTGCGCCCTTACTCCCAAAGCAAGCAAACATAATTTTTCATGAAAACATATGCTTGAAGATTGGTGAAACGAGTGAGGATAATTGGTAAAACCAAGTATTTACCTTCTATTTAACAACTTGACCATTTATGGCTACATTTTTGAATAACGATCCGTATCTTATAAGCTACGACTCCGAAACAATGTTATTAAATACTATCATGCGAGAAAATTATTATTAAGACCATGGTTTACCTTTTGTCGACCACTTTATAGACAACTTATAATGCCCATCAATCAAGACACCTTACCTAAAGGATCACGACTAAACAAATCGATACTAAAACTTATATCATTTCAACTTTCTTAAAATTAAGCTTCTAATTTAATCTTATTTATCTTTAAATATGTCAATTTAAAATATGTAATTAATAATATATAACCATAAGATTTTCTCATTAACATAGCGAAAATATTATTCTAAAATTTCATCATTTATAAAAACATCTCTCACCATAATTAACATTCTAAATAATCTTGTCCCAATATTCATACTCAAATTCTAAGTAAAAATTTTCAATAGTCATAAGTTTAACATCATTATATTTATTATTTTAAAAATAAATATTCATTTGAAGCATAACCTAATTGTTAAGAACACACAAAGGCAGGCATATGAGTCATTGGTCACCGAAAGCAATATCAACATCCTCAACATTTATATCATTACCTATACCACATAACGAGACTTGAGATACGAATATCCTAATAAGTGTAACATGCATGATTTTACATTAAAAAATTTTTTACATGAATTTCTTCAAAAAAAATTTTCTCATTTGGGCTCTGTTAGAAGATACTAACATTGGTTAGTAGGGTTTAGCTTCAATAAAAAATACAAAAAAAAAAAAATTGAACCTCAATATTTAACGAGTCAAACCTCAATGTTTATGCCTCGATAAGCAACTTTAACCTTTAAATCTCATTATGCATTAAAAAATGACCTCATTCGTTTACTTAAAACGTTTTTTTCAATCAACATGTAAAACATATGCATGCATGTGAATATACCTTAAGACTATCACATCACATCAATCATATAAAAAAAACACATAGCATTTATGTTCATGGTGTAGGTGAGTTACACTTACTTTATTCGCTTAAGACCACTATTTATAGTAACCTTTCTCTAAAAATCGGTATCTCGACTTGATTCAATACCTTGAACATACACACCATATGACATAAGAAATTGAATATTATTATTTTATCTCTAATCATTTAATTTTTTTATTTATTCCTATTATTTTCTTGTAATTTATTTTAAATTAAAAATCCTAAATCAACTCTACTCTAATTTTTTTCAATTCTCCTTTAATTATATTAATATCATCTATTGTTATTAAATTTTAACTTAACCTTTTCAATTATTATTTAAATGCACTTAATAATCAAATATTCTCTAAAAAAATTAAAATTTTAATGTTAAAATATAATTTTTAC